TATTATTTTTGTTTTAAAATATTGAGTGAACAATAAAATATTGGCATTAAAACGAGGTCGAACAATATGCCTACTTTAGGTTTAACCCGATTGTACAGCAAGATGTTTGCGGCACGTTAAGAAAGGCTTTTATTTTATTATACACCCAAAACTTCAAACGATCATCGATCTAAGAAGTTTTTAAAATGTTATAACCATCAAAAACAATTTTATTTAAGTAAAAAAGTTTTATTTTGGGGACATAAGTTTTGTCCAAAGTAAATAAACAAAATGGTAATGTTATTGCTTAATACAGGTCTTTAAAAGACTTTTTGTTATAAACTTTTTATGTTAAAAATTTGGTGTCAATGTACCTTTGTAAAGTCGTTGAACGCATTCGGCTCCATTTCAAGTTTCAAATGCAAACCCGTATTGAGTCCTTTCAACTCTTAATAATTTAATATTCAAGCCATAAAAATACTTCATCAACCAAATCATATTAGTGACAAAACGTGCTGATTGTTATGAATGCAGATTTAAGAAAAAGATACGATACGTCCGTCGGTCAGAAAAAAGTACCTATGGTATGTAGACATCATTTATTCCAGAAATCCCCATTAATATATCTCCACCGTCGGATTGTTTCTTCCTCAGTTTGTTCTGGTAGGTAAGTATACTCGTATGTTGTATCTGACTGACATATTTTAATTAATCGTTATAATATTAAAAAAAAGAGAATTGAGTTTCCATTAACATTCAGACTGTCTTTGTATAATAAAACAATTAATATAAAATGCACAAATATAAAATGCTCTGATTACAATGGACACAGCAAACCTACTAAACAACACAGTGTACGGCATTGACTGGCTTGCAGTATTTTTTATTTATTTATTATATTATTTGAAATACATTATAATCTTAAGTGTATAACAGTGTCTCATAAACCAGTATTGGTTTTCCCGGACACTGCCGTTCGCCATCAAGACCCGCAGGTACTCAATCAACAAATTTATTAGAGATTGTAATGACTATTGTTGTTATGTTTTTATTTATTTTTAAACATTTAACTGTTAAATGTTTAAATCTAAAGAAAAGTTTACTAGAAAAAAAATCCACGCGGACCAGGCAGCGGACGGGACTCGAACCCGCACCCTTCGCAATCCGGGCGAATGCACTGACCATTATGCTACCACGGCCCTATTCGCCGCGTCGAAATTTTCCTAGCGTTAAGCTGCAAGGCAGCGCCATGTCTTCGCATTGTAGGTAACCCACAATGTCAATGACTATTGTTGTTATTTTTTTATTTATTTGCTTTACAAAAAAATCTTATGAAATGTACAATGAAAACAAACAAACGTTCGGTAGCCAAACGTGCTAAAGAAAATAAATGGTGGTACGACCAAAAGGGCTTGTTGATAATATTTAAAAAAATCAGTTATTGTGAATCGGACTTGCACACGAATGATACCCACCAAGTTCCAAAGTTGATATAATTTACAAGATATAATGCGATTTTGTGAATCGCCATTGCAGACGCTGACAGAAGGACTGATGGACGGTGGAGACCTCGCAGTGGGGTTCCGTTGATCCCATTTAGATACGGATCTCTAAAAGATTAGAAAGAAGGTATTTATGACACATTTTTTATTCTCAAGGAAGAGCTAGAATGAATTTAGTGCCTCTGGTAAGAACGAATTTTCAATAGAAACTATAATATTGTTTTTCATATGACGAATAGGTGCTTATATGTATTATCAAAAGTTTATCGTAATCATTGTATGGTATCTACCTAACGGTGGGGTTACAAGACAGAAATTAGCGAGAGAATGGTAAATGGAAAAGCGGTGGTCACCGATCAGCTGTCGCAAGCGGTATTGGCCTTAGAATGGCTGCAAACATTGGCCTAGCTACGTTTCGTCAGCGTTAAGGGCAAACATTTAGATTGGTCGGTAGGACTGGGATACTAACATCAATACCAAATACGGTATTGTAGTATTTCGATAACTTGCTAAGTATTAAATCAACCGTCGTTTGTTTTGATTCTTCATGATTTAAAGCCTGCGCAGACGAGGGACCTTTGTCCGCGTACTTTTATGTCTGCCACAATAGATCGCTTACATCTGCATCTAGTAACGCATACGACGGATTAAAAATACCGCGTGCAAAATCGCCCGAATAACCGAGGACACCGAGAGGCATCACAGGACTAAAGTACACGGGTGTCGCCGAAAAAAATAGAGCTCTTGTGACTAAGCGCAGCAACGCGTAAAGCAAACTTTAGTCGGATTTGCGCGCTAGATCCGATTAAAAGAGATGGACCCAGTATTTTTTTAAATGTATTTTGTTTCATAAACTTCATGTTAATTACAACAGAATGTAAACTGAGAATATTTGCTTCCATAGCGTGCGCTTCTCTAAATTTTCGGGCCACAAATGTTCACATACCCTGTGCGTTGAGTCCGTGACAAGTCCTTGGCGAAAATGTTTTTCATGATACTTTTTTACTGTTCCTTTCAGTAGTTCCAGTATTAGATGGATAGTTACGAAAAGTTCAGTTTCAGATTGTTTCGAACTGTTTTTTCGTATCTTCTTTAGTATTCTTTAAAAATTAAATAATTCCAACCTATGTCAGATCCATAGTGACGATGATGCAATTTTATTTGGAACTATATCTGTTCACAATAATTTGTCTATATCTACATCAAATTAAATACCATTGCTCTCACTTCAAAAGCCGAGCACAATTTTATACTAATTAGGTACAAAGTGACCTTCATGAAACTAAAGTTGTTTTATTTAGTTTTGCCAAAACCAACAAATAACTGATGGCTCGGCGATGTCCCAACGTGCACACGATACTCATAACGATTTGCGTAGAGATAACATGAGCGCGTGAGGCAGCCACGTTGCGAAATCATCGCCAATGTCTTCATAGTGAGCAAATAAACTAAGCACTTGCTTTATCATAGTAATACAATGTACTTAGACAACAAATTGCTTTTATCTTTCATGGTCATTAACATTATAATAATTTATTTTAATAAAATGCTTCCATTATCCTTGTTTAATGCAAGCCCCTATGATGTTTTATAGTTACACTACATACGCCGCCGTCGCGGCTACACTTTGCTAAAATTTCTAAATATTTTACGTTTTTCCAGACAAAAGCCCTATGTGTGTTTTTAGATACAAGCTATTAGAGACAAGAAAATCTTGTCGTTTCATTCGTAAGTACAGTTTTAAAGAAGTTAACGTAAAAATATTTAGTGTTTACTTATTTTGACAGTTGCTAACACCACTGACACGAGGAGGCTAAAGAGCGAGATGTAATCTGTTTTATGCATGAGACTGAAAGAGACTACTTTAGTGAGCTGTATTGGCGGCTGTTGCCAAGGGAAGTTGGGGCGGGGACTACTTATGCTATTTTAAAATGCAATAATGTTACGTATAACGTATAACCTGTCTATATATTATACGTCATTGGCGAACCCCCAATATTTCGGAACTGTTGCAAATAATCACGGAGTAACTCAGAATAGGAGGAACATGGTAGCAATATCGTAATAACATAAATTACAATGAGAACTGGCGACTGTAGTGGACAAAGCACATTAAATTCATTGGGATATTTTCGTGTCATAAAGATAAATATATCAAAGTACATGTTTATTGCTACCCGATAATTATGATTTTATTGAACCATAAATATCATAGGTAAATCGAATGTCGATATCGTAAATCGTGATATTATCAGAATTTAACATTCACCAGTTCAGTGAAAAATACCTTGAATGATGAAAGCTCATTAATTTGAGATATTAAAAATGTTTATTTGTCAATCAGATGACCTTCGCGTTGTTCAAAATTTATGTTTCTGTCCAAATGTCAAAGAAAAGACTTGAATCTGACACCTTGTGTACCTACCTACCTGCTCAGGTTGAAATATGTATCCACATAAATTTTAATAAAGTAAAATATAATAAAGTTGTTGTAATAGTAGGTTTGAATTAATGAAATGATTGTGGTAGCGGGATACTATCTGTTGTCATGGTAATTTTAACAGATATTGCTTTAATTTAGGTTCTAGAAAATCAGTCGGATTAAACAGTCGCATGCTATCGCGGTATGTTACTAAAGAAATAGCAATTGTATTATATTATGTACCTATTATATTGTTAGGGGAGATCGTTCCAAAGTAGATTTCGAAGTTGAAACCAACAAGGGTTTATACTAATTTTCCGAGTGTAAGTGTTAGTGTTTTCTTTAAATACTTTTTAGCTCATCAACATATCATCCGCTGATAATTATAAGCTAACGCACTACATTAGATTTCAGTCACATGATGACAAACATCACACCAGTAATTTTTTTGTCATCATATTGTTTCGTCTGTGCAGACCTCAGAAACTATAAAACGGACACTCTCAACGGTTTTCCAAAGACGCGCCCATAAATATTCATATAATGGTCTTCGCAAACGAGAGACTTTTGTCAACGAACTTTTTTGTCCGCCAAACATCTTCTTCATCAAGTAACGAGCATACAAAAGATTTCACGAACAACCGAGGACATCGCACTGGACAAAAGTACGCAAATATCCCCGAAAAAATAGAAGTCATGTGACTAGGCCAGCAATGCACACAGCGAGCCTTAGTCCGCGTTGCGCGCTTGAACCCATTTACAAGGATGGACCCGGTAATCTCTTTAAAAATGACTTTAATTTTAACAGATTTTCTTCCAAAATCTCAAAACAATTTCGCCATAGCGTGCGTCTTTCTAAATTTCCGGGTAACAAACGCTCGCACACCGTGTGCATTGAATCCGTGATAAGTCCTCGGCGGACATGTTTTTCACGATTCAGGGATTTTTGTCTTCCAGGGACCAAAGTCTCTCGTCTGCGCAAACCATTATAGAGTTTTTTTTTAAAAACGTTTGCATTGCTCTATTCGCACGAACACCATAAAATATGTGTACAACCGTTTATACGTGCGCGAATATAATGTGGTGTAGATACTAACCTTGTTTATTGATGTCCCATAGAACGATTGTGCATCCGAGCCGAGCCAGCCGCAGGGCCATCAGACTCCCGAGGCCTCCACCGCCGCCAGTCACTAAAGCTATATTTCCCTTCAAGTCCTTTTTAGGGTACCCCACTATCGTCCTATATATAGCTTGGATTACTTTCCTGATCGCAATAATCAGAAACAACGTAATGTCCAGTATGGACTGTAGCACCGTATACTTGTCCCGCATACACTCGGGGATTTCCCTAGTGAGCGGTCCCGGCCTCAATCCGTTGATGTACTCTTGCGTCTCGATCGACATTTTCACTCGAATATTAACCACTAGGAATTTGATTTATAAATAACACTAAGCATCACTTGTGTCTGTTCAGCACAATGACTAGCACTCGAAGATTGTTTTTGTTTTTTTTGTTCGGCACCTGTAGAAGAAAGAAAAATATTATTGATTCTAGAATCAAAGTTTGTAAGGATAAGAATGAAACCTCCCATACAGGTTAAGGAGCGAAAGAAAAACTCATAATGCACACTACAAGTTACTTTCCAAGTCTAGCGATAATAAGAAAACCGGACAAGTGCGAGTCGGACTCACCCACCGAGGATTCTGTAGGTACGCAACATAAACGGCCGTATCTTTTATCCCCGTTAGCTTAGAAGTTCGATTTTAAACACAGTTTTAAGGGGCCTTAGACTTGAATGAATATACAAATTGTTCAAATTTCGACTTGGTCTCTCCACGCGCTCCGGAGATCTGACAAATAGATAGAGGGACAGACGCATAACATAATGATCTTATAATGGTTCCGATTCTTACTTTTAAATTACGGAACCCTAAAAACAGTGAAGTGCTCGTTAAATCCGCTTAATTACCTAAGTTATTTATGGTTTTTCTTGTCTGGGCATACATAAAATACCTTGGCATTTTAAACACCTTAGATTATGGTAGCCGGCCTCTTACCATCAGGGTATACATAAGCCTGTTTACTACCCTTACTTCTTAAAAATAAACTAGGTACATACTAATCAACACAAACATTCATCTCCACCCAATCACATAAACACTTGTCATTATTTCGCAATTGTTATTATGTTTGTATAATCTGTCTCCTAGAATACATGTTGACCTAAACTAAGAGGCAGAGAAAAAATTGGTAGCGTCGGCATTGTATTGTAATATGATATTGCTTAGAAAATCGTTTCTGTGCTGTTTTGGATTATTATTAAATAATAATTATACTGAATTATTAATCTTAGACCTAACCACAAATGTGGTTTCCTTGAAATGAGTTATGGCTACACTAGTGATATAAAAGTAAACATTTTACTTTCAAGTTGACACTATTAGGGTTCTGTCTACCCTTAAGGAATATATATATATACTTATGGAATACATGTAACAATGTACATAATATTTTTTGTTTTAAAAATTTAACTGTTAATCGTTTAAATGTAAAGAAAATTTTACGAGAAAAAATTCACTCGGTCCAGTTTTCAGACGGGATTCGAACCCGCATCGACTACTAATATGCTCCGGAGACCTTAATTGGCGTGTCGGATTTCCTCTAGTATTTATTAGGCAGCAAGGCAGCGCCGGGTTGTTCCGGATTCAAGGTATGACGTCTCCACTTCTTCACATTGTAGGGTAACCCACTACACACATTGTAACCCACAATGTCAAACGAAATAAATACCTTGACAAGTATTAAACATTTGAAAGTAGAAATAGCAATTGTACATTATAATATTTTTATTTTAAATATTACAGGTTTAAATCTAAAGTAGAAAAAATCTAAAAAAGTCCACTCTTTCCAGGTTTCAGACGGGATTCGAACCCGTACCTTCCACTATCCAGCATAACTGTAAATGAACATGAGGCACATCAGGTACGCAGTACAAAACGAATGTACTTTATACTCAAGCCCAAAATGTGGTTGGTAGGCCAAAGAAAAATACTCTTTTGCATAAAATGATGACGGAAGTTTGTGTTTAAAAGTAAAGAATCGCCTTGTATTGGTAGAACGAATATTTTACTTGCAGTTAACGTTTGCAAAACGCGCTGATTCAATCTTCCGTATTCACCTTTTTTTACATATTACAGCTATATTTTTTGTAGATATTATCCAATTTAGTTTCTTTACAAACTTTTAAAGTTTTGTAAATGTTAGTTGAACACATTTGACCTTAATCTAAAATTGAGGAAACGAAAGGACTAACTACTTATACTGTTTTGTTTCCTTACTAAACTATGATAGACTTTACACTCCGGGAACCTTGATTTAAATAATTATGTTATCATCATCATCAACCTATTAATGTCCCCACTGCTGAGGCACAGGCCTTCCCTATGGATGGAATAGGGAGATTAGGCCATGACATACGGGTTATTAATAAAAAAATACTGAATTCTCATAACAATGTCATATGAATAGTTTAAAACGTTTAAACACCTTCGAGTCCTTGTAATGAAAAGGTTTTTCTTTAAGGTATTATTTTTTATATTTAACTAGGCAAATGACTCTACCCTATCTAATCATTTTTATCTGATTATTTTTATCGTTTTATCAATTTTAACTTGGTTATTACTTTTGGTAATTTTGGTAGTTAAACCTTTTGAGACTTTTGTCTTCGACAATTATTTTAATATAATTTATAATACAGTTAAAACAAATATCTTTTTTTTTCAACAACCGAATTGGATATTTCTTACTATCTACTACTATCTGTTTTGAACTACCTAAGCAGCTGTTGATCTTCCTAATCATTGTCAGGTATTTACATAATCCATACTAATATAATAACGAGAAAAAAAAATCTTTTGTTACTTTATAGAAGCTTACGTGCGTGCACTAGACGCAAGCTTCGAAATGTTGAGGGAATTATTGTGCTGAGTGCCAAAACAATTATTAAGGTAATAAATAAATTTACTTAAGTTTTGAAGATAATATTTCGGATGCAACTCAACATCAGATTTTTAGGTTACTATTCCATCAGCCAGGCAGCGAGGGAGTTAAAGAAGGTCAAATTAGCGGTATTGATAAATTAATAATAATTGGAATTCATAAATTTTACTATGTATTTTAATTGTAAATCTTATGAAAAAATTAATAAGTATAAATAACTAAACTCTCACATAAAATCAGCTAATTAGCTTTCCTAGTAATTTAAATATATAGTAAATAATTAAATCAAAGTAATAAAACTGGGTAATTTACGTTTTTGACAAATTCAAATAATGATCTTTTATAAGCTTTTACTTTTCAGTTTAAAAAGTACATTCACCTACATTGACCTGAGTCGCATGAAACTGGTTTTTAAAATTCGAGCAGTTACTTTTAAGGCTGTCATCCAAATATTCGGCACCAGTTACTTTCAAGATCAACATGCCGATTTAAACTGGAGCGGGGAAAAATAAATATCTACAATATAGAATCATACAACACCGCGCGAATTTCCGTTCGAGTTGAACGCATATCATTGCGTTTCTGTATGATTTTGAGAGTATAAAAGCCTACCTACGTTAAATTTCAATTAACATTGAACTAAAGAAATTTATAATTTCGTAGTTTTCTGTACAATAAGAAATTATTCAGTTTATTTTACATCTATGTAAATATTCTTTATTCTGGTTTTTAGACGGATGGGTCGATCATATTTTAAAATAATCTTCAATCAATTTACATGTGTTTTTCTTAAATATATTTTGATTAAGCTGTTTATAAAAAATACAATTTTGTTATATGCAAACCGCGTATTTAAAGCTGACTTTAATGTCGATCACCCAAGAAAGAACTTAAAACAATATTAAAGTAAGAGGTAAGTCCAAATAAGAGAGACGTATTCATCGCTCAACTAGTTCAGCAGCCTTCGCGTATTCGATATATTTGCTTTCACCATTGACAAAATATTAAATCATATTGATACATAATGCATATGTGATTTTTAATTAAGTAACATTGAGAATATATACATAATATATTAGATTATTGCTTTATCTACTTTTAGTCTAACGACATAAGTTTATGACATTTTTATTTTTTAAGCATTTAAAGGCTAGATGTTAAAATCTGATCGGAGGACCTCGATGGCGCAAGTGGTTAGCGCGTTCGGCTGCGATCGTTGAAGTTAAGCAACTTTCCCAGTGGTCGGTCATTGGATGGGTGACCAAAATTTACTATCTCGAGCTCCTTCGTGCTTCAGAAGGCACAGACATAGCAACAACCCATGCAGGTCTATCAACAACATACATGGTATGGACACCAAATATTAATAATATATTTTAGATATAAGTGAAGAATATGTATTATTTCTTACTTTTTAGTGGTTTTGTTTTTATGAAGACGGTTTTTTAATTTCCACTTTTTGCAAACAAAAGTGACATCTTTAGTAGATGTCTAAGAATATCCACTACTAGCAGGAACCTGAGTTACATCAATATGGGACCATCTCGCCAAATAACCGATTCAAATACAAAAGAATCATCAAAATCAGTCCACGCATCTCGGAGATATGCGCGAGCAACATTAAAAAAATTATATACTGACGAAATTCTCCTTTTTGAAGTCGCTTAAAAAGAGTCATAAATGTTTAAAGAGCGTATATTTCAAAATAATATGATGGTTAATTGATGTTTCGTAACCTTTATGTTCGTCAGTGATAATAAAACTGTTGTTAACGGTCCTAAGTATTGTATTATTATATTTTATGTCTAAATATGAACAGAGAAACACAAAATAATTGTCATCTTAAATTAAAATGTTCTTGTTCCAAAATCTGTATAATATGATGAGCATCTAAATAGTTTTATTTAGTTAATAATTAACATTGGTAATTGTTGCAAAAGAAATCTTATAGCTCGCTAATTGGTTGAATCGTGCTGCTCACTATGCCTGATGAAGATGAAACTCATCGCGTTAAAAGATATTCTATGGCGTATATTAAGTGGAAGTCCACTGCCTCACGTATAGAAGTGTCGCAATTTCGGACCGGTGAATGCAACTGGATTGCACAAACCACTGCATGCCATAGTATGAACGAAGTAAGGACGACGTATATACACACATCAAAAGTGTCTAGGGATCAACATATATTTTTGCAATAACTTTTCTCCTGATTGATATTAATTAAAATTTTCTTTAAGGATTCATCAAATAAAGTGTTTTCGTTTGTCACAGTAACGATAAACCAAGTCACCTTTGCATTAATAAAGAAATTTGCCATTTTCCTAATAAAGGGATTTTTGACATTTGAACCACTAACACAAAAGTTCGAAAAAAAGACTGAAATAACAGTTTTCTCTAAAATTTTATTGGGTAACTTAAACAATTAATAATCCGTATTTCTACCGCGAACACTAACAACACAAGAACATCGGTTTGGCATACTCAAAATGAGTTCATCCAAATCACGCTGTGGAATGGCCGCC